AACTAAAACTGAAAACGAAACCGTAGAGATACATAACTGAATCCACTTACACCACCTTTCCCGGAAGCCGCATCGCCTGAGCATATACATAAGAAATCCTCAATTGACGTGATCATACGCCTTTTGAATATCAAGCTTACACAACATCCCTGGGATCCCCTGACGTATTCTTGAATCAATGCATTCGTTCGCTATAAGAACTGAATCCAAAATCTGACACCCCTTCACAAAAGCATTCTGGAACTTAGAAACCACTTTTCCCAGAGCCTCCTTTAATCTATTCACCAACACTTTAGCAATGATCTTATAAACTCCGCTAACCAAGCTAATGGGACGGTAGTCCTTAATATCAGTCACTCCCGGTTTCTTAGGAATAAGCACAATGAAAGTGGCATTAAGACTTCTCATAAACCTGCCACGTTCGAAAAAATAATTGATTGTACCCATAATGTCCGATCTAACCACCTCCCAACAAGCCTTATAGAATGAGAACGAGAACCCGTCCGGTCTAGGGGCCTTATCATCATTCATATTAAACACCATCCCTAACTTATTCATCAGCTCTAATGAATAACATTAAATAAATAATTAAACTAGACATGCAACTAATACTCTGTACTACAAATATCTCTATGAAATATTTCATCATCAAATTCTTTAAATATATCCAGCTTTTGCTCACAATTAGCATTATTAGATCATTATTGTTCCTCGTGGAATCTAAAGTCCTGCATTACATAAGTACATGAACACAATTATAGCAGGAAAAAAAAAGAAGCCAAAATTGACGCCAGAAATTAACTTTTTCATATGGTATCGATTAACTAATCTGCATACAATTTACAAACATTTCTACCATATTCATTTGACTGTCATTTTCAAATGTTATAAATAACCATGGCTGCCAGTCATTTGGTTTTATTGATAGTTATGAGGAGAAAAGTTAAAAGGAAAAGGACTTCAACAATTCTACATCTATGACTATAACCTTTTTAAGATACGAAGCACCTAGAGTCAACTTGATCCCTCTTTCGTCTCTCATCTCATTTCTTCTCCTAGAGTAATCACATTTTTTCATGCTTTCATTTACAACCAATGCATGCGTGAGTCCGCCATCTATATTCTACTCTAAGCTGTCAATAGATAAGAATACATGGACAGAGCTGTAATATAAAAGCTCAAAGTGAGTCAGTCAAGTTGGAAGCATTAGCTCCCACAACACTCCTTTCATGAAAAATGTGGCCCAAGGATGGGTACAGAAATGTGCTTTATATATAGTGAGAATGATGTAGTGCAGCGAACAACAATGGCTAAGCAAATAATTCACTTCATGACTTTAGGAGGTGGGGAGTAGAACACAAAGATTGTACTGTTGTCACAAAAACAAAAATATCTCTGATAATGTTGCGCTCTCTCTATAAATCATTTAACTTTTTTCTATAGTTAAAAACTTCTAAATATCCAATTTTTGGTATTTTCTCAGTTTAGAGTTCTAAAATAACCAGAGTCTACCTTATAATGTTAAACTTATGGTCTTACCACCTATATATCATCCCTTTGTGTCAGTGAGATGTCAAGAGTACCGGTGGTTGCTAGGTTTGACAAATTCTATTACTCAATCATATAAGTAATTGCCAATTCAGAAGTATGTGTTTTGTTTCATGAAATTTTCACGTTCAAATTGTCATAATTGCAGAATAAGTCCAGTTATACCTCTTCTGGTGTCCCCTCTCGAGTCTCCAGAGTAGATGCTAATGCTAAATGACATGACTTCTCAGCACCACTTGGACTTCTAACATGGAAGTTGTTGTGGAACTGCCAATAAGCAGAAAAGCATCATGTACCCAGTCAAATTCATTATCAAATAAGACACTCAGAACAACTCCTCCACGGGTAAAGTGAAAAGTACAAGTAAAAAAAAAAAAAGGTGTTCATACCCAACGGACAATAGGAGTCAAACAGGCAGCGGTAAGTACTGGTATCTCTGCTATCTTCAACAAGTCTTTGGGCAGGAGAGAAAGTAGAGAAGCCTGCCATGATTTAAATTTCCTTTAACTAAAGAACATTTTTATGCTTCTATCCAAATATATTCATTATTATCCTTCTCTCTATCAAACAGGTTAGAAAGAGAAGAGAGAACCAAATAAAGTGCAGGAAACTCAATATCCTGAAACAGCTAATATATTTTTAATAGAAGAAAGGCATAGTTCTTAGGTAATAAGGCATTAACATGCACAAAAGCAGCTCAAAGAAGCCTAAAGGTAGTAGGGAAAAGTCAAAAAGTGAGGTATACGAAAAAGAAAGACCTTGGAAAGAAGAGGGGAGTGGCTTGATATACATTATACAGTGCCAAAAAAGGTCCTCCCATACATGGTTCAACAATATGGCGCGAGCCATTTACTGCATGCTTGGACAGCAATGGTATACTTAGCACACTAAATACACAAAAATAAAAAATTCCACATGTGAACTGTAACAAGTAGCAAATCGTTCAAGAAAAATTAAAAAGAATAGTTATAAAATGCAATTTACAATCAGACTAAAAACTCGTGATATTTTCGAACCAGGCTAAGTTACCCTAAAGAAAAAAAGGAAAATATTCAGGAGTACATGATTCATGATAGTCATCAAATGCAGAAAATCTTGGCTTTTAAGGACCCACTGAGTCACTCAAAATCCATTAATTTCTTCCATAATATAAAACATATAGTGCCACCCATTTTTTATGCTCTAGCACACCTCCAACGGGTTGACACTTAAGCCCTAATCTATTAGTAAAGCAGGTCTATTTTCCAAGTGTGAGCTTTACACATATGACCTTGATGCATATTGCATAATTCAGTCATAAGCCTTTAAACCCCATAAACTATGACCAGATCAGGATTCAAAGTTGTCAGGGAGAGTACTAATAGCACGTTAAGCATAGTGTAACTACAATGCATCCAGGAACATCTCTCTCTCTCTCTCTCTCTCTCTCACACACACACACACAAGCAGAGACAGACATACAAACACCAGTTAATCTCAAAATTATTAAAAAGAGAAGAATAATGTAACAGCTAGCTCATAAAGAACAATTACACTTAGGGGTAGTACCAAAACAACACATTCCTTTAACACTTCATACGAAGCATATCCAACATTACCTAGTTCGAGTAATGCAATTATCCCATGTTTCAAAAAAGAATAACCATGGTGAAACAGCAAATTGACCTGAATGAGAGTATCATTGCAAGCTCTATCAATCAACCTTCCCCTCCCTAGTAGACAAAGCAAATGAGCCTTGTGCACATGCTCAGCCACTTCCTGTCATTAAAGTATCACCAACATTTCAGTACAGAAATGCAGGAGATAGAAGAATCAATATCTGAAAAGGCACACTGTACTTCAACCATATTCCGCATTTACCTTCTCTTGAGCAGTCACCCGTCTTACCGCCTTCTGCTTTGCAGATCCAGGTGAAACATCAAACTCAACAGTCATTCCATTGATCAATTCTTCTTGATCATTTTCCGTGGAATGTGATGCTGGAATTGATCCATCCTCCCAATCAGGATCATCAAATTCATCCTCTTTTTCTTGCTTAGAATATTTAGACCTACCCCCCTCAACTTTAACTTCAGACGGAACATTATCAATTGCATCTCTACTACAAAATTCAGTTTCTCTCGTATCACTTGATGCTGCAGTACCTGTAGATTCGTCATCATTACCTTTCTGTTCTCTCTCTGGCTGCAAAGGATACATAGGGGTCCCAAAAATATTAGAACAGCCCAATGTATATTGATTGGGAAACCTAAATAATCCCAGTTGACGATAGTGTTTCCACAGTTATCACTAGAGACCCAATCACATAATGTAACATTAGGCTATAAGTATCAATAAATAACATGTAAGGACAATATTTTAGAGGAGACTTGCAAGAAGTAATAAGAAATCACTATAGATATCAAATAAAGATTGAGAAGAAGGTGTATTTACCTTGGCTACAGAATCACATCGACGTAGGTAACTAATGTCTTCTTTATTAAAACCCCTTTTAACTCTTTTCAAGAGTTTCCCCACAGCACCTCGAGATATGTTTGTAAGAGTTTCTGAAACCAAATACTGACATTAGTTATGCTATACACCAAAAGCATTATATTCACCATGAAAAGAGGTATTAAACTAACCATTATCATCGATGTTCTCTGATTCAAGATGATGTTTCGTTGCTTCTTGCTCACCTACACATGCAAGGTAGAGCAAGTCAGTTATTTTAATGGTTCATCTAATTACGCATATCTATTTGTAGCAATCAGTTAACTTAAAACTAAACATTTGCAGGTAAATTATCGATTGTAGTCTAAACATATTTCAATTCCGTGTACCCATTTAGATTAGTTCTCATTACAAGAAAATTAATAAAAGGATTCTAAAACATTAGAAGTTTCATCATAATAAAAAGTTTCTGAATGAAAAAAATTGGCTTGGGAAAGAAATAATTTCCCAAAAGAGATGAGAGGGAGACGAAGCGTGTCTGTGTGTACTTTGTGAAATGTGATTGTGCGAGATTGCGGAACATACCGGTGGATTGATGGGGCCTCTTGGACTGGTTTCTTGTTCGCATGTTGACAGAAACTCGTGCTCTGAGCGTTCAGAAGGAGAGTGTGAGAAAAAGGGATGGAGTGCGGTGAGGTGAGGGTGGGGGTAGGTGTAGTAGTGGTCGGGGGGGAGTCGCGCGCAATTCTACAGTTCCAATTCAATGGCGGTTGAAGAGTGGGAGTGCCTATGGGCCCCGGCCCATATGGACAAGCCCATAACCTAGGCTCAGGATATCATGGTCCAATTAAAAGTATAATAATGTATATTTTTTTTATTTTTTGTCGGAGAGGATGCCGTGTTCGTAGATTGATACCTACTATTGATCTTCTATTTTTCTGAAAAAAGTATTAAAGAAATCATGGTGGGAAAAATCTGAAAATTTGGGAGAGACGAGACGAGACGAGACGCAAGTCAGTGGAGTAGACAATAACATAAAAAGTCCATATTTTGTAGAAATTAAAATCAAATTTTGATAAAAGTTGATAACATATATGATTGAAAAAATTGTGAGTGCCATAAAATGTGATTAAAATTAATTATTTATTCTTTCTACAACCTATTGTTAAATTAGTCAATAAACAAGCAAATTGAAAGAAGCAATCAGCTTTCAATACCTTCTCATTAAAATAATATCAATATTTCACAAACACCTTTTCAATTGGGCTTGTCAACACTCTGAAAGCTAGGAGCTGCTTCTTTTAAATATTGATATTATTTTAATGAGAAGGTATTGAGTTATTTTCACAAAATAATCTAATAAGCTTGTCAACACTCTGAAAGCTAGGAGCAACTTCTTTTACAGCATTTTGTTTTGAGCTCTATAGCCATGGCTGATCGGAAAATAATGGTCAAAATGATGCCATACGCTAGAATAATGATCGTGTTTTTCCTGATAATATGTTAATAAAGATATTTCAGCTTCTCTATCAGAAGTTGGAGAATGAGGGAATGTTAAAAAATAGTCAGAGAGTGAGAAAAACTCTGCACACTATCCTTTTATGTAAGAATTTGAATCTAAGTCAATTTGAAAATTAGCCAACCTAATGCCCTGTGACCATTTTTCTAATTCAGTTGTCTATCTTAGAATCCGGTCATATGCATTGTAGGTTGCTCTAAGAAAAGGTTGGAAAGTTGACATAAGTGGCTCTTGGAAAAGCTCCTTAACTGACTTGGTTATAACTTGCACCATGACATATTTCAACTTCAAAAATATATTTATATCGTTCTGTAGAATCATTATTCAGAATTCTGTCCTACTCACTATCTTCTTTATTCTTTGTTTTTTTTTCCTGGGTTTGCCAACTTCTGAATGTGGTTATTTATTCATGGGGTACTTGGAATTAAAGTGAAGATCATGCTTGATTGGGACCCCAAGGGAAAGCAGGGTCTAATGACTTCTCTTCCATATCAAGTCACAATTTATCCTCTAATGAAGAATAATATATTGGGCTAGCATATATCATTTTTCTAAATATGAGCATATTGGAACTAAAAACTGGAAAGGGAAAATGTTAGAAGGGTGTTGAATATAACCAAAAATATTTTATAATATGTCGTCTTTATTCGCCTAGAGTAGTATAAGAAGAACATGCTGTCAAATTATTGTGTACTTCCTCTGTTTTAAATGAGTTGTTTGGTTCTTGAGATCAGTTATAATATATAGTAGATGATTCTTTTTATTGTGGAGTATGATTGATAAAATTCCAATTTGGAAAAATATGACATCTTACTTAATTGTGTATAGAATAGAGGGAAAATGAGGAGAATAAGAGAGAGATGCAAATTGATTTCTCATCGGTAGCATAAGAATCATCATAACAGATGAAGCCAAAAGCAACTTGCAATTTGGGGAATAATAGTGGTTTATGTGCATCAATTTTTATTTATTTATTTTGTTGATACTCATTATTTGAATCTGTTGGGGATTGAACCAATATAACAAATAAGCAGCAGAAACAATTAATCCAACCCCTCAATGCACAAGAATTAAAATGGCAACCATAATAGGCAAATCCAACAAACTCACACACACTAGCAGGAATGTAAATTGAACACCAAGATTTGTCAACGAAGAAAACCCTGCGAAGGGAAAAACCCCCGGACCTAATCCAGTAAAAGAGCCATCCACTATAAAATAATGGGATACACAGTCAATCTTCTCTAGAGCCAACTTCAAAGGCTACCAATACATCAAGAACACATCTAGTCCTTGGATATCAACAACAACAACATACTAAATAGATACACACAACAATAAGTAGAAAAATCTCACTAAACAAGTGTGCAAAGCCTAGAGGAATAGACAGGAATCTAATGATCAACTCCGATCAAAACGTAGCCCTCTCCGCCAGAAACAACATACTAAAATATGACTTTAATTGGACCACAAATGAGGCTTCGATCTTTGGCAAGAAGGGGGCTGAAATCAGTCTTTCTCTCTCACACATTCTCTCTGTCTCGTGTTCTGTATGTGTGTATGTTATGTTCAAAATGATTTCTCTCTCTTGCTATATTAAGTTAAATTGGTCTTGGGCCTATGAAAGAAAATGCCCATTAACCAATCAAATGGGCTCCCTCATGTGGAGGGAAGACCCAACAAATCTCCCCCTCCCGACTAAGTGAGGGACTCCACCAAGCCCGCTTTCCTTCTACATACTTGTAGTTTCTCCATGGGCAATGACTTTGTCATCATATCTGAACCATTCTCATCGGTATGAATTTTATCAAGCTGTAACTTCTTCATCTCCAAAGTATCTCGAATCCAATGATACCTCACTTCAATGTGTTTGGATCTTGAGTGAAAGGTTGGATTCTTACTGAGATGAATAGCACTCTGACTGTCACAGTAGAGTATATACTTCTCTTGTTCTAAACCAAGTTCTTGTAAGAACTTCTTCATCCATAGCAGTTCCTTGCTAGCTTCAGTGATGGCTATATACTCAGCCTCTGTAGTAGATAGAGCAACACATTTCTGCAATCTTGATTGCCATGAAACTGCTCCCCTTGAAAAAGTGATCAAATACCCAGAAGTAGACTTTCTAGAGTCAACATC